ATTGTAATTAAAGCAATAGCATAAAAATTTAACAGATGCGATGACAGGAGAAAACTGGCATCATATATAGAGGAAATACATAATTTGTTCTTCCAGTAATTTCTCTGTCTGGCGTTGTTTGCAGAAATGGATCCTCTATTAGTGTTTACTTCTGTTTAACACTCGGTCTTAGCCAAAAGGTTGAGAAGAGATTCTACTTCTGTTTAAGTTCCCAAAAATGCAAAGGCTTAAAACAATACTCAGTTATTACCTCACAGTTCAGTATGGGAGATGTCTAGCTATAGCATGATTGGACTTTCTGATCAGGGTCTTAAAGCATCAAATCAAGATGTTCGCTAGAGTGAGATTTTTATCTGGAAGATCTGGAAGAAATATATACTTCCAGTAGTAACCTAAGGTCAGTTAATTGATAACCTTAATTACACCTGAAAATTCCCCTATGACATGCAACGGGGTATATTCATAGGCTTGATCTTCACCAGACTCAGAATCCCTGGAATTAGGGAAATAAATATCTTCAGAGGATTTTTAGAGTGCTAGCTCCAATAGCCTTTTTGGAATGTCTTGGATTTTTGGATTATTCAGGGAAATAGAAGCTCAAAGAGGGAGATAAAAGGCTTGTCAATATGGACATTATATTGGTCAGGTGGGACAAAATATATGCAACTTAAAGGAGGAGTGGTTTATTTTTACCTCACAGTTATGAGGGTTTTAGTCCATGGTCTTATGTTTTCAAGGCAGAAACATCATGGTAGAAGGCATGGCAAAGGAAAGCTGCTTTATTTATGGGTATAGGAAACACAGCAAACAGCAAAGAGGAAGGGCTTGATCCCCAAGGTCAGACCCTCATGCACCACTTCCTCCACTTCAGCTCCACCTCCTAAATGCTCATTGTAGGATGAGGAGCTTATCAATGAGTCAGATGAGATAGCTCCCTCCCAATCTGATCATTTCTCCAGGAGTCTTACTGACAGTAAAAATTAACAAGTACAGATATATAGATGCTTGAGTGATTAATTTCAATACTAAAGATAATTCACTAATTTAATTCATTAATTCATTATCCATGTGATGCAAGACTTCTGCTTGGTACTAGATGTTAATTATGGAGCACAATGTTAGGCAAAGAAGAAGGTTGCACATTCACGTAGGTCTTGTCCATTGGCAAGACTTTGGGTTTTGATATCAAGGAAGGTCTTTGGAGAGATTAGTGCATAGAGTGCCATGGTCAGATTTTTATTTCAAAGGGAAAGAAACTGGACCTCTCCCCTCAAAATATAAAAAAAACCGTGCTTTTCCTCCTGCTGAATGCAACCTAAAAAATCCTAGAAATTTTTTAAAAAGCAAACACAAGAAGATCTAAAAGAAGGAGAGATGATTGGCTGTATAGGGATCTAGAGACATGGTGGTGAATTTTCTGGGATTAATATTTGCCTCATACATCCCAAGTTAAAGAAGTTAGAAATGTGAATATGCCTACAGGCACAAATAAAACAGCCCCATCAGTCTCCTTTTTCTATCCAAAGGTCAAGGAAATGGGTATCCTAACAGATAGAAAACTGTTAGACAAATTCTATAAACCCCATAGGAAAAAAAAAATGGTGTTTTTTCATTACCAGCCACAGCAGTATAGTCTGGAAGGCCTACACTATAAACTTCTGCAGTTTGCAGCAAGATATTTTGATATCTTTTCAGAGATAGCGTCAGAGAAGTCCAAGTAGGGAGCAAACACTTTCTGGGAGGATTGAAACTTCTAGCCTATAGTGCCAATGGAGGCCATACTGGTAGCATAGATTTGACCTTATCCAGCAGTAAATAGTCTACCTTTGGCTTTCCTGCTGGAGAGGTGTCAGAGGTGACTCAATGGACAGCAATGACTTTGCACTGCTCTTTGCTATTAGTTACCCCTCTCATGGCATCAGTGGAGACCATGTGATTAGCAGTGAAAATGCTTTCCTACCACTCCCAGGGCGATATATTTACCATATAGTATTCTCCAGAACAGCACATTGATTTCTGACATTGATGGCATCATGCTGATCAAACAGGCTGAGCAAGAAGGGGCTGGTATATTTCAAGTCTTAAATAAGACATACATTTTACAGAGAGTGGGAGATAAGTCCAATGAAGATTAAAAACTGGACCTGTAAATTTTTTAGATATAGGCCCTGTTGTTTCTGCCTTCAAAAGAGTTCAATGATATACATACACAGGTCTTGGAGCAAGAGATGGAAGCAGAATTGGCTGCACTTAGTACAATCACAGGGAAGGCTGGGGTACTTTGTGTCTCCTGTTTTCACAACTCTGGACACCATAAGATCAGAGTTCTGAGTCCCTAAAGAATGGGACTCTATAAGATCAGAGTTCTGAGTCCCTAAAGAATGTTTTTATAGGAAATGCAGCAAAGGTCCTATTGAAGTGTAACCTTGGCTACTACCTGGACAGTTTGGATTTCTTGTCTATGAACAAGTAGGGGAGAAGAGTAGTCAACATCCTCATAAGAATAATTTTTAGTAATGATAAGGAGGAAGAAACTTCTACAGTTAAATGATAGGGGAAGGTCAGATTAATTATGGGACTCAAGTTATTCATCTGGGTGCCTCTTGACTAATTGTATCAGGAATGGACAAGCGGAGCAATTCATGCCTGAAAATGACTATTGGTTCAAACCACTTAGGAACAAGGGTTGGGGTCACACTACCAAGTAATATAGGAAGACATTTCAAGGTGATAGGTAACAGTGAAAAAAATTTATAGTACTTGGTGTAATGTAATTTAATATCCATTTTTGCTTCTATTTTTGATTTTTATTAAGCAATACTTAGTTACTTTTCTCATTGCTGAGGCAAAATACCTGACACCCACAGCTAGGAAGGAAAGATTTATTTTGGCTCGCAATTTGTAGAAGTTTCAGTCCATAATTGGCTGGCTCCAAGGCAGAGTGGCATGGCAGAGGGATATCAAGGAGGAAAAATCATCCATGGAAAAGCAGGGCAGGCAGAAGGCAGAAAGCAGCAAGCAATGACAACAGCAGGAGCAGCAGCAACAGCAGCAGCTTGCTTCTCCCTTTTATCGTTTCCAGAACACTTGCCTTTTGTGTGATGCCACCCACACCCAGGGTGGACGTTCATTAATCATAGCATCACATTCTTAATCCTAGCATCACACACCCTAGATCTAATTGCCTTTGAAAAGCCCTATCTATGACCACATAAGGCTTTGGGGGGTCATAGTATACAATCCATAGTAAAATACCCTCATTTATTATTTTGTACTTCTACTCTGCATTGACATCTGCTTTCTGGATGATTAAAACTGGCCTAACTCCAAAAGATCTTCTGTATGCGTACCTGTTCTTTTATAGGATAAACACTCAAATTCTCCTTAGCAGCACCTTATTGGTGCTTAGCTTGTATTTTCTTTTCTTTTGTCTGTTGGTTAAGTTATACAAATAGTCCAAAATAGTCAAGTGGCCCTCACAGATTCCAAATCAATTGAAAAATTGTGTCCTATTGTGAAAGTATTCATCTCTTGTAAACTAAGATCATTGAATTAAGAGTCCAAAATTGAGGGCTGGGGTTTTAGGTCAGTGGTTCTGCCATCTGCCTCACAAGTGTAAGGACCCGAGTTTGATCCCCAGTACCGAAAAAGAAAAGTCCAAAATTGTAATGACAAATTGCAAAACTTTTTTTTTTTAGCAGTGCCATTAGAACTATCAGTGGAAAGAACCTCTCTTATTTTCACTCAGTGACTCCTGGCCCAAGTAATCATTGCAACTAGAAAACCACCATTATGTATAAATTGCTGATTGAAAGCATATACCACATTCACGAAGATGTTAGCCACCTCTATAATTTTGTTGTTACCTAGGTGCACTGTAATTAAATCTTCAAAAACCTTTATACCACATATCAGGCCAGCTCAGTGAATTCAGTTAGCATTAGTTCATTGTTGAGGTTTGTTCTGATACAAGTCTCTTGCTGAGTAACAATGATCTGTCGCATAACCTAAAGATGAATAGGTTTTCTATAAATCCAGAGATGGTGGTTTTGTCCATAGTATTACAAGCAAGGGCCAGGTGTGGCGGTGCATGCCTATAATCCCAGCACTCAGGAGGATGAGACAGGAGGATCGCTGTGAGTTTGAGACCAGCCTGGACTACATAGTGAATTCCAGCTCAGTCTCAACTACATAGTGAGGCCCTGTCTCAAAAAAACCACCCCCCTCAAACAAAACAAAACAAAACAACCCAATCAAACAGGGAAGGAAATTGCATATGCAGGATAACTATCTATTCTAATGAGAACAAAATACTTCTTTTTGCATGCATGAATATTGATTTCTGCTGCTGGCAGTCTAGGCATTCAGAAGCAGTGAACTTCACAACACCTAGATCAGAGCAAAACCTGCATCACTGCTGCTACTCACTCTTTATGTAGACTCACTGCTAGGATGGAGGGGCTGTGGACAGACACTGATGATATCTACAGAATTAGTCATCTGATCCATTTGATTGCTTATTTGCTCTTCTGATGGGGCTGCCAATTAATAAACATTTGTATATTATATGAATGTGCTTAAAGAATGTGCCCATTCAGAGACGCTACATATCTCACGCCCAGACTCTTGTCACAAAGTTTTGAAATATTATTTTTTAAATTAAGTTTATTGGTACATTTTAGATATACAGTGCAGTTACATTCATTGTTGAGATCTTGTACCTTTACATGACATGTAACTTGGTTCTCATTTTTTTCCCTTGTCCCTGCCCTCCCTTCACTCCTCCTCCCCTTCCCGACCAAGTTTTGAATTATATTCCCTCTTTTTGACATCTACTCAGAACATTATCATTGTTCATTGTATTAGTTAGCATTCTGTTACTGTGTCTAGTACCTGAGAAAAATGATTCAAAAAGAGGAAAAGTTTATTTTGACTTATAATTTCAGAGAATTCAGAACATTGTTAGCTACCTGTATCACTTTTACATTTGTGCCATGCAGAAATATTACAGTTTGGTGCACGGCAGAAGAAAACTACTCACCTCATAGCAGCCATGAAGCAAAGAAAGCAGGAAGAGAAGCAGAGATGAAGACAGCAAAGACCAGATGGAGTTGGCAAAGTCACATCTCCATGATCCATTTCCTTCGGGTAGGTTCCACATCCTGTTTCCATCACTTCCTACCCTGGCATTAAATTATAACCTCAGCAAGGATGAAGTTAAGGCCTTGATGATCCAGTCGCTTCCCTAAAGTCCGTCAGCGACAACTAACCCTCCAATAAGATCTTTGGAGACACCATATCTAAACCATAGCATTTTGTCCCTGGGTCCCAAAAGTTCATTTCTATCTCATAATGCAAAATATATGTAGTCTATCTCAAGTCGCTGAAGTCCTAACATTTCCAAAATTGCTTAATTGGGCTGGAGATTTAGCTGAGCGGTTCTGCCACCTGCTTTGTAAGCACAAGGACCTGAGTTCAATCCCTGGTATCACAAAAATACAAAAACAAAAAAAACAACAACAACAACAAAAACACTTGAAGTACTCCAAAATTGCTTAATAGTCCAAGTTCAAAGTCTCCACTGAGACTCTAGGAAAACTCTGAGCTATGAAAATCAAAAACAGGTTACATCCTTCCAACATTCAATGGCACAGAATAAAGATTTCCATTGGAAAAGGGAGGAATGGGTATAGAGAGGATGGATGAGACAAAGCAAAACCAAAACCCATCAGGATAAGCATTAAATCCTGTAGCTCCATGTTCATCATCCATATGGTGGTGTGATGGGGGCTCCTAGAGGCTTAGGCAACACCGTCCCTACCTCCTTACTAGTAACAGTTCACATGACCTCTCTTTGATGGGCTCTGCTCACTGCCTGTGATTTCCTCATCAAGATGTTCCACATTCCTGGCATCTCTAACTTCTTGGAGTCTCCATTGTAGTTTTGGCTTTACTCTCAAAGCTTCACACATCAAGTTTTCAGGAGTTGCCTATAGAAAATCTGACCCTACCATATACTTCCAGGAGATGTTTTCTGTTGAAGTCTCAGGGGAAATTTCCACCCCACAGTAACTCTTGCTTTCTACTTGACTTTAAACCAGCATCACATAGACACTTTCATTGTCTTTCACTGCTTGAGCAGTAGATGAGCCAACGTTGACCATAACTGTAGTGCTCTTTGAATGCCTTGGAGGCTCAACTCCAGAAAAACTTTACTAGGTGGTCCTGAGTGATCAGGGAGCTCTCTCCTTAAAGTAAAGTCTTTTCAACGACTTCACACTTAAAAGTTTGCTGGGTAGAGTTTGGCCAATTGCTGAGATGCTGTTATCTATCTTTCCTGTTATCCTGGTGCAAAGTATTTGGCTTCTTTTCATCTGAAATCATCTCTTCAGTAACTACCTTTTTTTTTTTTTTGGCGGGGACTTAGGCATGTTTCTCTTCAGTCCATACTGTCTTGAAATTTCCTCCTCCAGATATATTACCCCATCACATTTCAACTCTACCTCCTGAAAAATGGATATAGACAAAATGTAGAAAAAAATTTCAGAAGAATTTAACATGTATGACCCCCAGCCCAATTCTCAGTAGAATCCTCATTTCCATTTGACTTTATGAGCAGAGTCTTTACATTTCTTTCAGCATTCTGGCCTTCTGTGCTCACACCAGAACAACCCATTAAATTCTGCTTAAAAGTTTTCCCCAGCTTGAGAAATTGAGTGAGCAGGCAACCCATTTTCTGATCCCCCTGTCGCTCTTTGAAGTTATCTTTCACTCAGTAAACTTTTCCTATTCTTAAAAAATAAATAAATTAACTAATTAATTATTCCTTACCAAGATGTATCATTTAAAGGTAATGTTTTGACCTCTTATTTCTTATTGCTACATAGAGCATAGATAGGGTACTGAGATAACTTTGAATCTGTAGCTGCTCTAGGGATGTGAGAGATAAAAATGAGAACTTTTTGGACTACTTGCAATGTGACTATGATAGGAGGAAAAAATCAGCCAGGTGTGCTGGCACATACCTGTAATTGCAGCATTCAGAAAGCTGAGGCAGAAGGATTGCCATGAGTCAAGGCCAGCCTGGATAACATAGTAAGATCAGTGAATTCAAGATCAGCCTGGATAAGATAGTAAGATACTCTCTCAAAAACTAAAACAATAAAATGCAAAAAAGAAAAAGAAAAGAAAAAATAAGCTTCTGTCACATTGTTGAACTTTGGATCTAGAATGTCCTCTGAAGGCTCATATGTTAATCTTCAGTTTGGAGCTATTGAGAGGTGGTGGAAATTTTAAGGGCTGAGACCTAATGAACTACTTTCTTGTCATTGAGGCTGTGCCTTTGAAGGGGAAAGTGGAAACTAATGCCTTCTCTTTCCCTTTCTTACTTTCTTCCTAGTCACGAGGTGATAGTTTTGCTGCATCATGTACTCTCCACCACAATGTGCTGTTTTCCCATAAGACCGTGAGTAATGGAGCCAACTAGCCAAGCACTGAAACCTCCAAAATTGTGATTCAGAGCAAAATATTCCTCTTTATATAATGATATGCCTTAGTTATGTGTGTAGTATTATTCTTTTTTCTTTTTATGTTTATTTTTTTTTCTTATCTCCTGCAGTTGTTAAACTAATGGAAAGCTAACAAGCATGCCTGAGCCATTTTCAAGTTTGGGTACAACTAATAGCTGAGTCTATATTATAAGTAAATATGGCTTTATACAAGTAAATAATTTTTCTTTAGCATGGAATGTTATAGAGTAATATAAGATATAGATTCTATAGACAGAAAATGGCCTCTTATGGTATTGCCATTTTCTGTGTTAGTTATGGTGAAAATAACCACAGATATGAATGGGTCTAAGGTGTATGGATTCTTCATATATTGTTTCCAAAAGCTCTTCAGTTTTTTACCTTTATGATACTTGATATATCCATATCTACTTTCAATTTTTATTCAATATTTTTAAAATTGACTTTACAAAACTCATTTAAATACAAACTAATATGACTTGGATAGAGGAGATAGTACTTATAGAAATCAATGCATTGAAAACACACAAAACATTAAATCATAGCAAAATTTCATTACTCTTCAAAGCCCTTGTACCTGAAGCCTTACCTTTCCTTATGTAAAGTGATTAGTTTTATTTAGAGGTACATTTAATGCATAGTAGAAAGAAGTTGAGATCTTCTTTTTAATGTAACCAATTGACAAATAATTGAAAGAAAAATATCTTTATCTCTGTGTAATTAAATTTTATTTAATGCTGCACAAAACCTAAAATCAATCAGGAATTCCCACTACGCATTTCAGACAGTGGTACTTCTTGATTTTTTTTCTATAAATAAGAGACAGTAATGATCAAAAGGAATGCTGGGATTTGGGTAGAGTATCAGTCATGTTCCACCTGTAATGGGTAGTATAATATCACACTGTTTTTTTATGTAATGAAGAACTCTGAAAGTACACGAGAAGATAGCAAATTAGTTCAATAGGAACAGGCCATTTTACTCGTTAAATTTTCTTGAATTTTTGCTTTTGAACTAAACATTAGATAATTTTTAAAAGTAACTTTCACTAACAAACTTGTGATCCTCAAAGTAAAATCACATAATTGTGGTATAAGGCTGAAATGAATATCAGGAGCAAACTGTATAAGCTTGAATGAACATTTAACCCTGGACATGAAAATAATAAGCATTATTAAAGAACAAGATGAAAAGAGAGAATGGATCATTTTACAAGCAAATACAGATTTGTTTAATTTGAATGGTGTCTGATTACAGTGCATTTCCTAAACCTTTGATTAATTCTTGTTTAGAAACCGAGAACACAATGAGGCACTTTTGTTGAAATGTTGTGTAAATGTGCTGCCTATAAAAGTAGAGGCATAAGAGTGCTGTCTACAAAAAAGAGAGTGTTGTGCGCAGATCTTATAGGAGTTTTCCAATAAGGATTTTCTTACACATTGGGTTATCAAGAAATTGACCATAGTTTTATTGGTATCGATTTATCATGAACTTTAGCATGTTTTAACATCTGTAGTACATATTTTGAATATTGCTATTTTTAATTGAAAGTTTCACATTCAGAAAAGTTCTTTTTTTTTCATAGTTCTTACCAAATAAGTGGAAGTTTCATTTGTTCAAGTTTTCAGTTTAGCATTTCATATTATGTTTCCCCTATATAGGAAATTCCCTTCCCTGTTGTCATTCTAACATTCACCTGCATTTGGAAAACGTTACGATACTTCCCTGCTTCAAAGATTAGACCATGTGTCAGACAGGTGTATATTCACAATAATCTATTTCCTTTTGCACCTAGTTCATAGACAGACCTTATCACAACCTTACTTACTGCTATGTGACTGAGCTCTCACCACTGGAATACAGAAGAGCGTTCCCTATGTCTCTTTGTCACTAGTCCATGAGCACCAACTGAGTAATCAGCTTTTCTCTCTTCCTCTGTCAGCCAAGTGGATTGGAAGAATTTAGTTGATAACTGTAATTTCCTAGGAGATGGTGGAGCTATGGAATGTAAATAGCCTACTTTCCCTGAATGACTTTGTGGAGCAAATCCTTCCTTGCCTTTCACTGATCAGACTTCATGTGATCAGCAAATAGATTAATATTTTGTTAAATTTGATGATATTTTGGAGTTGTTCCAAAACAAATGCAATTTGATTTGATAAAATCTATCTGATAAAAGATGATATTTTAAGGCTGAAACAGAACTAGAGAAGATCAAAAGCATGAATCTACCTGAGCAATCTACAGGGAGCCTGAGCAATGTATAACCACTTTCCTGCTACACATAGCAAGCAGGAAGGAGAGTCCTGCCCTTTCCATGATCTGCTTTAAGAGCAATATCTTCTCTCCAGCTTAAAATTTCAAGGGTAAAAAAATACAAATATCCTTTAATAAAAAATCTAACGTCTATTTATACATGAAAAGTTTTGAGGATTAGAAAGTTTAAAGGATTTGTTTAATGTTATTGATCTACATAATCATTAAATCAGGAGTCTAAACTAAGTTCCCTAACTCATGCTCCAGTTCATTCATATTTACAGGTCATTAGAAGCAGATCTATCCTAAAGTACGCCAAGATAATTATAAAATGTAAAGTTCATGGAACTACTTCCTGACCATCGGCAAGTGAATATCTGTGGTTGATTCAAAATGATCTCCAATTTTTAGATATTTTTCCATTGAGAAGTACAGCTTTTCCCCTTGATATGGGTCAGCACATTGTGGTGGTTTGATCAATACATGGTAGCAAAGAGGACTTCTAAGATTAAGTCATAACAATCCTGGAAGCTTCCCTTGGTGTTTTGGAAAACTCCCTATGGAAACTAAGTCTCTTTAGCTTTAATGTAAATTGCCAACTTGGTTGGATTAAGAGATTTCTGAAAAGGTCATTGGATCGTGGAGGTGATATACTCAACAGTAGACTACTCCTCTTATGTTTGTAACTGAATATGCTATAAGGGGTGAGCCTAGTTTGAGGTTTGTCACTGAGGTATGACTTTGGAAGGTGTAGCTTTTTGATGGCATTGTTCCCCTGCTGATTCCCAGCCATCATAAACTAATCAATTTTGATCTGCCATACCCTTACACCATAAGGTTTCTGCCTTGGAGCCAGCCAACTATGGATGGAAATCTCTGAAACCATGATCAAATTAAATATATCTTCCTTTAAGTTGAGAGAGTTGGTATTTTGTCCCAGCAATGGAACAATTGACTACTACAGAAAATTGGTACCAGAGAATCAGGAATTGTTGCTGTGATTTTGCCTGATCATTTGGTTCAGAAGGAGTTTGGAAAGATTTAGAGATGTGAGCTACAGATGCTCTAGAATGCTTTAAGGAGAACTTGGTGGATGATTCTGGTTAGGGTCCAGAAAATCAGAATGCTGACAGGAATGTAGAGAGTAAATGTCAGTCAGACTCAGGAGGTTTACATTGGAAATGAGGATTATTTTGGATATTGAACTAGAGACCATCATGTTACATTCTAGCAAAGAATTTATCTACATTTTGTCCATGTCTTGAGATTATGCTGGAGCCTAAGGGTGGCAGGCTAATTTATCTGGTGCTACAAATTTCAAGGCAGCCCACATTCATATTGTGGCATGAGTACTGCTGATTGCTTTTAGCCAAATCTACAAAATGAATTAGTGGCAAAAGAAAGAGAGAAAGATTTTTAAAAACTTAAATTTTGACCTGAAATGAATGATGTAAAGTTGAGGCCTAAAGAGGTACAGTTGCTGAAGAGATTAGTGGCATTGATAAGAAACTTTGAATGAGGATAAGCAGGAAGGTATCCCAAGAACATCTCAGGAATTAGTAGGACCTCATCTATTGCATGTTCAAAGATGCAAAAGTATAAACCTTTTATTTTAAAAGAGAGTCCTTGAATTCCCTCCTTGAGAATGATTGCCTAGGGTATTGGTTCTCTGGGATTCATTTCACTCTGCTCAGCTATCAAGGGACTCAGAGTTTGCTGCAGCAAGGGACCAAGGGGTCCTGGCTGATATTCCCTCTGACAGCAGACCTTGGTGTTGTGTATGTGATGCTGGTTTTATTTGCATGCAGAATATAAGAGTTGTGGTGTTATAGAGACTTCCACCAAGATTTCAAAGAATGGCTTGGGAGACCAGGCAATATTCCTGTGAGAGGAAGATGCATAAAGCTTTGGGAATGAAGCCAAAGGTGCAATGAAGACCCAAGAAGTCAAATATCCCAGGAACAATGACCCCTGCTCTGCTTCCTAGATACTATGAAGTAAATAGCTTGGGTCTGCCACACTCTTCTGCCATGATGTTTCTGCCTTGGAGCCAGCTAAACATGGATGGAAATCTCTGAAACTAAAATCATGAATCAAGTGAAATCTCTCCTTTAAGTTGTGAGTACTGGATATTTTGTCTTAGTGACAAAACAACAACAACAACAATAAAAAAACCTGATGAATAAAGTTTCCATTTAAGTAGTTTAGCTAGCCAGGGCCTGTCATCTAGAACACTTATATGTGGATCCCCAGTCAACTGTTCTAGCAAAGCCTGCTTCTAAGCTGTCCATGCCAATGTGTCTGACATTTGAGTGGAGCTGTGAAGCAGCTAATTTAGTCACTGAAACCACGAATTGCCTGTTCATGTTTAATGTGGGGAGTTTTATCAGGCAGTTTTAATGTAAGATTTAGTTTAAAGTGGTTCAGTTCTTTATGGCAGCCTGTCTTACTTACTTTTCTCATTGCTGAGACATAATACTGGATACCCACGTTAAAGGAAGAAAGTTTTATTTTAGCTTGCAGTCTATAGAAGTTTCAGTCCATAGTCAGCTGGCTCCAAGGCAGAGGAGCATCACAGAAAGCAGAAAGGAGCAGGCAGCAGCAGCAGTCCTGCTTTCTTTCTGTCCCTTTATATTCCATCCAAGCTGCACGCCTATTGATTGGTGGGTGGAGCTGACATTATTCACACC